TGCTCGTGGTCCTGTTTGCACTGCGTTGCACCGCGGCCCTTGCATCTGCGCTCCGGAACTTTTGCCTAGAAATCCGAAGTGTCAGAGAGGCAGGTTGGTCTGGGAGGGAGGCAGGGGGAAAAGCGAGTCCAGGCCGGTAAGGCTTAACAGATCCCCAGCTCTCAGGTCAGCCAGGGTAGAAGTGGTAAACTAAGATGCTCCCCGCCCAACGACACTGGGTCACAGGACCTCCAGGGCTCAGCAGGGCTCAGCGGGGCGGGCGGGACGGCCTCCAGAGAGGCTGCTGCCTTGCCCTTCCAGGCCCTCGCGGGTGCAAGCACCGGCGAGCGTGGATCCGTGAGCACAAACTCGAGTGCATGAGTCCCTGTGCTTGAGCCTGTGGGTGTGTGGCCTGGTGTTCAAAAGCCGGTAGCAGGTCTGTGATTGTGGGCTCAGGCGCATGGACCTGGGTGCTCCCTGGGGCGGCTCTTTGGGCCCCACACGCATGTAGGTGGTTCTGGAGAGCTCTGCGTGCCTCCGTTTTGGGAGACCTCCAACCCTTCCCACAACCAGCGGACGGATTATGGCCGCACCGACGCCGCACTGTCGCCAAAGGAGAACCGCGCGGTCCAAGCCAGCTGCTTCGATCCCGGCGGGTGCGGAACGGGTCTGCGGAGCCCGGCCACCCCTCAGCACCCGCCTCCCTTTAGCCTGTGCGGGTCCGGGAAGCCAGGGCAAGAGAGGACACCAGAGCGCAGATCAGAGCGAGTTCCTTGAGCAGTCTTCCCCTAGAGCGGCAACGTGTCCCCAAATAAAGACGCGGCCTCCTCACCCAGAGCCCCGCCAGATCGTTTCCTTGTGGACCGCGCCCGCTTTCGGGGTTTACAAACTGAGGGCGCGCTCGCGCATCTACCGGACCTTCGGCGTTCTGTAAAGGAGGGTCTGAAGTCCCCCGCAGGAGACGCGCACTCGCAGCAGCCGCGGGACTGGCGCAGGTATCGTTCTGGTCCCTGCAGGCTCAGTTGGCGACCCTTTTCCTAGAGACTGCCCGAGGAGTGGAAGGCACGACGGGGCGGGGAATGCGGCCCTGGATTCCACCTGCGGCCTCAGGCCGGCAGGGGCGGCAGCTGTCCTGGCACTAACGACGGCCCCTCGCGGGGCGCGCGGACCACCCTAATGAGGCTCCGCCGCGGCTCACCTGCTCCGGCCCTTCCTCCGCCCGAGCCCGCTAATTGCTAAAGCCTGTGCGCCCCGCCCGCCGCCCATATGGGGGAGTCGGGGACAGATGGGGTCCAGGAATGGGGCGGCGGGGTGGGGGGAAGCACTAGGAGCGCCACCTAAGGGGCGGCCGGGGTGGGGAGCAGGGGGTGGCAGCAGAGGATTCCCCAGGCAGCAGCTGAGCCAGAGTCTGGGAACTGCAGGAGTGCGGGCCTCTTGGCCCCTTGGGGTGGGCCCTGGATTACAACAATCCTGCCGCCTTCATTTACTGGCTGTGTGCCCTCAGCGAGTCACTTACCCTCTCTGTGCCTCAGTTTCCTTACTTGTAAAACGGGACAATAATAGCACCCTCCTTCAATGGTTGTAGTGAGAAAGGAATGAATTGAGGCTCTTCAAGCTTTCTGCGCCCTGCCTTACCCCAGCTAAACTTCAGTCAATATTAGCTGCCTCCTCTCCAGGCCTACTTCACCTATTAATATTCTGAGTTCCCCGGAGGTTCGGCCCGGCCCTGCCTCCCTCCTCCCAGCTTTGCCTCTTCAGTTCCTCGCTGCAGCCCTCCACCGGGACCCTCTTCCACAAACAAGCAGTCAGCAGCAATCCCCGGGGCCCTAGAGGAGAGATGGGGAGTAAGGTTGTAGCTGTGGATGATCCCCATCTCTGCCCTGCCTAAATGGCCCCCTCACTGACAAGGAGTTAGGGCTTAGCCGCAGGGATATAGCCCCTGAGCTGCTGCAGCCTCCAAACCAGGGAGTGACTGTGCTCACCGATGCTGTCCCACGTCCCTCTCCCTAGTCAGGACGGGACCAATGGGACCAATATGGCAACCACTGCTGTGAATAGCCAGGCTTAATCCCGGGTTTCCCTTACAGTTTTACAGAGATAATAAATAAATGGTCACTCTTGGTATTGGGTGCTTGTCAATAACCCCTATTATAACCTATAACCCTTTCTGGAACTGTGGGATGCTTATGTGGGGAAGGGGATACTAGGCACGAAATCTGCCATGTAAGAGTGACAAAATGACAGAGCAGGTGGAAGGGGACTCCTTTGCCCCTCCCAGATGAAATTCTAGGAAGCATCAAGGTGAATACTCAGTAGAAGTCCAGGCAGATTGCTGGGTAGATTCTGCCCCAAAGGGAGACAAGACATTTTCCACCACTAGTGTGTTTTGTCCCTAAGAGCATCTAGGGGGCCTTAAAATTCAATATCTTGGCCCAGGGGCTCCTCACTGATCCCAGTCAGGGAATGAGAAGGGCAGGTCCCTGGTGGATGGCTGTCAGAGCCCCAAAACACCACGGGTGTCCTTAGTACCCATGTCTTCCTCCAGCCACATTACAGTCCCTGGCCTCACTAGGAGTGTGACAGCTCTGTGTGTTTGCTTCACTCCTCTGTTCACTGCCTGCCCCCAGGGTGCCGAATGCCAACTCCACGGGCATTAAAGGTGAGTCTTTCAACCGAGTCTAGGGGATTGTCATTTCTCTGTGGCTCCTGCCCACATGAGAGAGTGAGGAGCCCAGGGACAGTGCCCTGGGGTGCTGAGACCAGAGGATAAGGCTTGGGTTCTGCCTACTGGCCCCTTGGCTCTGGTCAGCTGAGCTCCCAGGATCTTAAGGAGGGTTGGAGAGAGTCTCAAAGACTTGGAGGGTGGTGAGTTCCTAAACCCAGAGGCACCGCAGAGCCACACAGTAGAGCTGGAGAGGAGGCTGAGCTGCAGCCCAGCCTGTTGAAAATTTCCCAACGAACCCTCCCCAGAGGGACTCAGGATGTTCCAGGGCAGACTGCACCAGATCCCAGAAACTGTTACCTCTTTCCCTCCTCCTCTCTCTTGATGAGGAGCCCGGTACTGATAAAGAGCCCACCGAAGTCAAAGTGGTTGCACACAGTCTTATCCTGCCCTAAACCAAAGCCCAGCCGCTGGCCTGAGTTCCCCACCTTGGCCCCCACGAGTCCAGGGCCACCCTCGGCGAGTAGCCACCTGCTTTGTCGGATGCGCGCTGCGCGGCGCTTGTGTATGCCACTGTCTTCCTCCTCCACGTCTGGAGATGCTCCAGTCTCATCCACCATGGTCAAGACCCCCAGCTGGGTGCACAGTTTAGGCGGCTGGTTCGAAGGATGGCCCAAAATGTAGATGGACAGAACCCCCCCTTCTTCAGAGAGCCTCGTCTTGCCTGGCCTGGCTGGTGGCTAGATGCTGCTGAGAGCTTGGGAGCAGGGATGGAGGGAAAGACTTGATTTATTGCCTTTTAACAACTGTATTTCTATGTAGACACCAAGCACACTCAGATCCCACACCAGCACACCTGCCTGGCGCTGGGTGTGGAAGAGCCGAAACTGCCATCAAGACCCCCACTTCCACCGGCCAGATTCTCAACTCCCACTGGTCTAAGTTCCAGCCTCCTGAAGTCCCTTTTGTGTGTGTCTGTGGCTACAGCTGGACCTAGTTTTGAATTCTTTGCGAGTTTCACTTCAAATGGGATTTTGGAATAAAAACGACCTTGCCCTTCCTTCTTCTTGGATTCTCATGGCGCTGTTGGGGTGGTGGTGGCAGGAGGCTTTCCACCCCTCCGCAGCCCCCAGCCACTCAGCTTCTCCAAATCCCTCCCAGCCTTCACAAAAAGCCAAGCCCATCGGTGAAAAGCTAGGCCTACAGCACCTGATCCCTGGGCACTTGCTGTTCTGTCTGCTGGAGGGCCAGGAAGTGCCTGTCCCTTGCTAGGGCACAGAGCCATCTTCAAGTCTAAGCAAAGGGTGCCTGCCTGGGTGAGCGAGGCTCAGCAATGTGACCCAATAAATGGGGTTCTGACCAGGGAAATCTGCACGCCCAGATCCAGGGGCCTTTGGCCAGTGGACACCAAAAATATTGTCAAAGAGAGGGCCCTGGCCAGAGGACGTTCTTACTGTGCCGGTACCCGCTGTCCTGCTGTCCTTTCAGGGGCTCATTCTCAGGCCAGCCCTGGGGCGGAGAGACTGCGACAGGGTCTGCCCTGTCCTTGACCAGGAAAGCCAAAGTTTTTTATTTCTACCCAGAATCTCTCTTCACAACTACATCTTAAATTGGCATCACAGGTTTGGATTTTGAGAACCCAATGGCCAAGGGAAGACGGCGCTGACCCCAGGAAAGAGCAGAGGCCAAAGCGCTGCCTGGGCTCCTCCAGGCAGGGCTGAGCACCCGACCCTTTGCAGTTCAAGGGGCAGGGGTGGGAGTGGAGGTGGGGGGGGTGGAGGTGGGGTGGGGGGTGGGGGGATGGGGAGGCAGCGGATGGGGGAGGGTGGTGGAGATCGCTGAGAAGGGATGGAAGCGTTAGTGGATTCTGCACCAAATACTCCGGAATCGCTTTGCTGGGAACACCACTGCTCCGCAGAACCCAGGTCTGCAGCTGATGCCAAGGAAACCCGTTGTGGGGAGGGTGTGGTGGGAGACCGTCTCTGAGCAGAAAGGAAATAAAAATCGAACAGGAGAGGAACCCTGGGAGCCCAGACCTCCCCCCACCCCCACCGCCCGCCCCGCCAAAGGCGCAGCACTCACCCCCAAGTCCCAGAGTTCGATGCTCTGGAAAGGAAATGTCGGCTTATAAACGAGCTCAATACTCGAAGAGACAGGCAGTTCCGGGTTAGGCGTCGGAAAATAAAAATAAGGACAAGCAAGTTGTGGAAAACACCCGGAGGATTTGTTCAGAACATGTTTGAAAGATAATACATGTGTGTCTCTAGTGCCAAACTGGGGGAACAATCTCCAAATCCCGCCTACGCTATCGCGTCCGGAACCCGTTTCCTGGGTGGCACACGGATGGAAATCGCCCGAATTCACTTTAAATTTTATTTAAAATCTCAACACTCAGTCACTTATTTCGTTTTTGCAACCAAACAAGTAATAAATATTATTTAGCACTTTGTTTTTACAAAAATAAAACAGATGATACACTCTCTGCGAGGGGCGGCGCGATCAGAGAAAGAATGTTACACCGCGACGCTACGAAGCCCAGGGTGCAACGCAGGCAGCGCCGAGGCCGTTTGCAAACGCAGGAAGACGTGGAGTAGTTTACCGTTTGTGTTAAATGTGGCAAAAATAAACCAAAACAGAGGAAAGCCGGCTTAGACTCAGGTAGGGCTGGCAGTCACGTGAGCAAACAGCTTAGCATCGCGCACTTACCTCAGCATTGATATAGTTACACATCCAAGAAAGAAACTTTTAAACAGCCAACAGAACCCGCAAATAACCCAAGCTGTTTTCACAGCAACTGCCTTTTAATTCCGTTAAGTCCTCAGGTATCAAAATAACCAAATCACTTTGTGCTTAGAGAAGGAAAGATGAGAAGGTGGGGTAGTTTCGATTTTAAAATAATAACTAAAATGCACCCGCCCTTAAAATCGGCAGTTTGGGGTTATTCCAATCCACAAGTGGTTCTACTCTGAATGTCTGTAAACTTGATCATCCTGTTGAAGAAAGAACATCCACAGATTTATTAGAAAACCGTATTCTCCCAAATCAACGAGAGACAGGAAGGAACAGCCACAGTTCGTAGAGGGTGTGGGTTGACCCAGATATTGAGATTGGATATGACCGTAAGTGCTTCTGGTACCAAACGCCGGCTTCTAACTAACTTGTGGCCCCTGACCTTGGGCCAGGGACGACCCTGCAGGGCGCGGCCAGGCCGTTGCTTCTGCGACGGGACTACCAGGAGTCTCCCACAGGCCAAGAAAGGAGGAAGGGGAGCAAGTTCCCACATGTCCTCCTCCCTTAACACTCTCCTCCGCCAAGAAGTGCGGCCAGGGCCGAGTCTGGAAGTCAGGACTGGCTCTCAGGGAAACCAGTTTTTAGAATCTTCTCCCGGAGGTCGGGCGGAGTTCGAGTGAGGAACGAACATAGCGGTACCTTTTCACAAAACGGTGTCTACCGGACCAGCGCAGATTAAAGCCAGAGAGGGCTCGATCAGGTCCCGTAGCGAACATCCCCCTCACTCCCCACTGCTCTGTGCATGCCCCCATTGCTTGGGTTCCCAGATGCTGGAGTCCCCACCATCTCCCACCCCCAGTCCACGGTCCTGCGCCCCTCCCCGTGACAGAGCTCCCGAGCCCAGCGCCGGCCAGTCCTCGCTTCCCCGCGCCCCCGGGCTTCCCTCTCGCCAGAACGCGCCGGCGCCGGTCGGCTCACTTGGCATCGGAGGTGAGGCGCGGCAGGCTGCCGGCGCCCATGGCCGACACGTGGTGGTGCGGCGGTGGCACCTGGCACATGCTGCAGGGACAAGGCATGCCGCCCCAGTGCTGGAAGCCCCCGCTGCCCCCGCTGCCGCCGCCCCCGCCCCCCAGAGGGGCGGCCGCGGCGGCAGAAGGAGACTTGAGCAGGCCGTGTGGGGGACGGATGGAGCCGACAGACGACAGCCCGGAGCCGGGCAGAGAGGCGCTAGACACTGCCGCGGCGGCAGCGGCCGCAGCAGCCGCGGCGGCGGCGGGCGGCAGGATGGGGTGGTGCACCGCGGGGTGATGTGCTGCGTGCGCTGCGGCTGCGGGGTGCGCGGTGGCGGCGGGCAGGGGAGCGGAGTGCGCCAGGCCGCCGCAGGCCGACGGGTGGAAGCCAGCGTGATGGCCCCCGTAGATCTCGCTCACCAGTCGCTTCATCTCCTCCAGCGAGTTGGTGAGCATGAGGATGTAGTTGCGCGCCAGCAACAGCGTGGCGATCTTGGAGAGCTTGCGCACCGAAGGGCCGTGCGCGTAGGGCATGACCTCGCGCAGGCCGTCCATGGCGATGTTGAGGTCGTGCATGCGCTTGCGCTCGCGGCTGTTGATCTTGAGACGAAGCTGCTGCAGCTCTGGCTCCGTCATTTGCTTCTTGTCCTTCTTGGTGGACGATGCGGCCGCCGACGACGTGGACGACGAGGTGCTGGACGAGGATGACTTGAAGCCACTGCCTCCTAGCTTGTCCCCAGGATGCACGCCTGCCGAGCCCATAGCGCCGCGCAGCTCGGCGCTCAGCTCCGGTGGGCAGTCGCTCGGCGTGGACGAGGACACGGTGCCCCCAGTGAAGGCGCTGCCGCTGCTGCCCTTACTCCGGGCCGGCAGAAAAAGGTCATCGGGCTCTGGTGACGACGGGCGGCTGGACACCAGGCTGGCGTCCGAGTCCATGGCCCCGGGGAAGGATAATCGTCGCAGCTTTCGCGGGGTTTTCCTTCCCTGGGACTCGAAAACTTCATGAGAGGAGGAGGAGAAGAGAGAGAGACAGAGATAGATAGAGAGATATCAGTGAATGAGACAGAAAAGCTGCTCCCGCCTGCACCGCAGTACGGCAGCGCGGGGTCCAGGCACAGGTGGCGCGTGGCTCCTTGTCCGCCTCGCTACTATCTCTGCAGCCTTCCTTTTAGCTGCACGCGGGTACCTACAGTTAAGCTCTCTTCATCTCCCCTGCGCTCTCATGCAACAGGTTATTTCAGGGAGCGTTGGTGACCCTCGGGGTACGGGTGGCATTCTAGGGGCTTCATGCTTTCAGTTAGGAATGGGAAAGCTGAGCCTCCCGGGCTGGAATAAACGAGTGGGAAGTGAGGACCTTTCTTTGGGGAGGGTGAAGAGCTAAATAGGGAACTAATGATTTGGTTCCTCAAACGGATCCACCTTATCTCCATCGACACCGCGCAGCAAACACATGCACACGCACAGGCACCCAGAGCCCGCCTGGGGCCCAGATTCCATGCGCTGCGTCCGGAGACCACCGGAGCTCACCAGCTGACTGGGGCTTGGGCAGTAGGAGCTTTGGTCGCCCCGACTTCTAGCTTTTGGCGAGGGGTATGCAGCGGTGAGTGTGGGAAGGACGGAACAGCAAAGTCGTTCTGGCGTACTGGCCCGCAGAGGAGGGACCCAGACCCCCTGCATCGGAGCATTCTGGGTCACAGCGGAGTTGAGGAGCGTAGGTCCCTGGGATCTAGGCTGGGACTGCTGGGGGGCGGGGACACTTACTGTGGATGCGATTTGAGGAGCTCGCTCCTAAAAGCCTCAGCGGAGAACCTGGCACCAGGCGCTGGTGTTGCGTCGGTCTATAATGAGCATCCGCACCTTTCCAGGCTCGGCCGGTTTTATAGCCCGTTGGCAGCGGCGACGGCGGCAGCGGTGGCCGGGGCGGGGGCGGGGAACAATGTGCGAATCTTGGAGGGGCTGCAGCGCCAATGAGCTGGGCCCGCCGGGGGGCTGGGAAGCTGACGTCACCGGGGCTAATTCCGCTCAATGAAACTCTCCAGGCCCGGCACACGCCTCCTCCCAGCGCACAACCAATGGGCGCCCCTGGCCGGGAGATTCTTGGGGAGGGACTGGAGGAGGGACCCGAGGAGGCAGTGAGAGGCGAGGGGGAGGAGGAGGGCGGGCTCCAGGGGGATGGAGAGAGGGCTGAGCACGCTGGGGACCCAGGGAGAAAGGGAACATAGTCAAATTTCTGTAAAAATACGACCACCACAGAGTCAGGCTGAGGGATGGGATAGGACGGGGACTCTGCAGAGTCTAACAATCTAACCGGATGCCGCAGGCAGCCGCAGTTTTGGGGATGCGCGCGGATAGCCCTGGCGACCCAGGATCCGGGGCTGGAGTCTCCTCACTAGGTCTTCCTCTCTCTTGTTTCTCACCACCTGTTCCCATCTCACGGGTTTCATCAACACGTGGGCATTTGGGGCACCAAATGTGAACGATGCCCAGGCACAAAGTCCTCACTTTCTTAGCGCTCTCCTTGCGCCTCTAGGAGGTTGCCGTGGCTGCAGCTCCGCGGGCGGCCGGTAGCGCCCCCAGCTGGGGGCAGGGCCTTGAGGGGCAGAGGGCGGGCAAGCCGGGAGGGGACGGACTCCGGAAGTCTTAAAAGAAATCACAACTCTCCTTTAGGTTGAGGATGGTGTGGGTACAGGGACGGGTTATTTCCGTACAGTAACTGCACCAGCACAAGGACAGAGTCGTGCCTGTAGTTAAATACCCCTCCACTTATTAGCAGGGGAGCCGGATGATAGCAAATTTCAGTATCATCTTTGTGACCCTCACACTCCTTGGGGCAGGGACAATGCTGGCATCTGTAGTTCAAGCAGGGACTGTAAACGCTTAGTAAAGAGCTGTAAAAGCTTAGTAAAGAGCCTTCCGCCCCAGTCACCTGCTTTCTGGAACTGCAAAGAGAAGTCTCAGGCCTGGGCAAGTCTTCGCCACGCTGTGGGCCAGACAGCGAGATCAAACCCCTCCGTTGGGACACGTTTTCCTGATTGCAGGCTGGCTCTGAAACCTGAAAACTCTTGACGATGAGGCATTAAGTCCCAACTGGAGAAGCACCTCACTGAGGTAACTGAGGTATGGATGCGTTCACCCATTTTACAGATGGAAAACTCAAGACTGACAGCGGCAAACCTACAGGAAAAATTGCTAAGCCTTTACAGCGCAGCCCTGCAGGTGCTGGCGTTGGCGGTTCCTTACAGCACAGGCAGCCAGCCGCCTGTCTCCCTCAACCCATAACCTGTTCCCCGAGCTGAATTTCCCACACCCATACATTCCGAATTCAGAAATTTGTTTCTGCAGATTTCGAATGCTAGTGCTTGACACTGAGAGCTCGCGCACACAGGCACACAGTCTCCTGGGGAGTGTGAGGATGTTGGGGGTAGTTTCCTTGCTGGGGAGCTTTTAATGTGCAAGTACGATTTTAAAAACAAGCAAACGAATAAGCATAGTAAACAATTGGTCTTCAAGCAGCAAAGTTACAAAATAAACAAATACAGAAAGAAACCCAGGTTTCTGCCCCTCGTTCTAGATATGTCTCCCTCTGAGGTCTACGCTAGCAGCCCAGCCGGCTCTCGCCTTCGCCCCAGTCTCGTGCCTTCTGGAGCATTATTTTTCAATCCGCGTGTTTCCCAGCTGGCTCTGCAGCCATCCGTTAAATATGTATTTAAAACATGAAGAACTGAAGCGTGGTGTTATGTCGTCCAACGGTTACAAGGATGACCCATAACCGTTCAATTAGTAGAATCTGTCACACGGACGATGCAGGGAGCGGGGGTGGGGATCAGAAAGGGCTCGGCATTTGAAGTTGCCTCCTTCGGGCCTGCCCCGCCAACCGCAGGGAGGATTTGTGTGGAGGTGCGCGCTGTGGGGCCACCAGCCGGGGCGTGGAGTTGTGCGCCTGCCAGTGTAGCTAATAAACAGCAGCAGGCGCAGCGTGCGCGCGCCTTGGTTGCAGCCGCTGAGGTTAGTCCAGCCGCCGGCACGTGTCCCGGAACACGGTTTCCTTTTTTGTTGCTGCCCACTGGTGTCTGTCCTGCGTCCGGCCTGCGGCGGTGAGAGCACGCGGTCTGAGGTTCTTTGCACTCTCCGGCCAGCGGCTGGAATTGGGAGTCAGGCGTGAAAGTCGAGGTGCCCATCCTGGCACTGCGCGAGTCTAGGGCCTGGAAGGCAGAGTCCGAAGGCAGGAGAGCTGGCTTGCTAGCCAGGTTTCCGCGTGGACGCACTGTCGTAGGACGCTCCAGGCCCTAGCCTGCCCCGCACCACCGGGCCCAGGCGGCCGTGGATGTTCTGGGGCTGTGCAGTGGCACCTCGCTGTCCTCACTCCCCACGCGGGAAGCACAGGCTGCAGCTCTATACTGCTGCTGGCCCCTTCACCCGGCGGCCTCCCCCAAACATCCTCCCTTCGCCAGAGTAACTTGGGAAGTGGGGGAAGTCTGTGTCCCCTTTGGGCTCCCTTAGCCCTAGTGCCAATCGGATGCTCAACACCTCTCTCACGGTATCTCCTGTGCCTCAACACCCTCTCCCAAGAATAACCAGAAATTAGATCCCGCTGCCCGAGCTTGCCCGGGTGCGTCCTGGAGGCGTCCCCAGCGCTTGTCCGGGTCCTGCGTCCAGAGCCCGAGGTAGACGTCTTGTGCGGGTCCCAGGTACCGCGGTTCCCACCAGAGCGCGCAGCTGGGGCCCTTTTCTGGGGAATGGAGTGCTCACTTGCCGAAGCTAATGGGCCCCGGCTGCGGGAGTTCCTGGCTGGCCTCCATGTCCTGGTGCTGTGGGCCTCCTCCGTGTTTTTCCCTCTTCTTTGTGTTTCTCTCCCACAAAAGACCGGGTGCGTGTCGGGGCCGGCCTTTGTTGGACCGCCGGGCGGCCTAGGGGGAGCCGGTGCCAAACCGGCCGGCTCTCTCGGGGCTCCAGGGCGCAGACCTCCCACTGCTTCCCGGGTCCCTCCCGGGCCTTCTTTCTGGTTCTCCCCCTTCCCTTCTCCGAGTTCCTGCTCACATTCAGGCTGCATCTCCGCCTGGCTGCCAAACAGAACGACGTTCTTGCGCAGATCTAACCAGGGGTGGCGGTGGGAGGCAAGGCTCCGGGCACCGGAAAGGAAAGGAAAGAAAAAGACATTGCAGCCATCGCTCCTGAAGGACAGCGTTTGGCTCCCAAACGTGTGGGACACGACCCCTTAGAAGTCAGAACTCTGCAAGCAAACGGCGTGTCTTTTTTTTTTTTTTTTTTTTTTTTTTTTTTTGAGACGGAGTTTCGCTCTTGTTACCCAGGCTGGAGTGCAATGGCGCGATCTCGGCTCACCGCAACCTCCGCCTCCTGGGTTCAGGCAATTCTCCTGCCTCAGCCTCCTGAGTAGCTGGGATTACAGGCACGCACCACCATGCCCAGCTATTTTTTTGTATTTTTAGTAGAGACGGGGTTTCACCATGTTGACCAGGATGGTCTCGATCTCTCGACTTCGTGATCCACCCGCCTCGGCCTCCCAAAGTGCTGGGATTACAGGCTTGAGCCACCGCGCCGGCGTGTCTTTTTCACAACACAGCTCCAAGAGTCGTCCAGGGTCAGCGCGGCTGGTGGGAACCGCGGCTCTCCGGACCGGTCCAGGACAGCTCACGCTGGGTGCGGAGGATGGGTCCTGGCACTTGGCAGGTGTTTAGTAAATACTTCAGAGTGCACAAACGTGCAGATGTGCGCGCGGACTTGTGTAAAACATGGTCAACAAAATGCATGTAAATGCAGGCAAAGATGTGTTATGTGTTTGTTCGCTGTATATGATAAACTATCGGGTCTGTAATCTGGATTTTGGAGTATATGGGCGCCTTTAGAACGACTGGGCTGTCGACTTCCATCTAATGACAATTGTGACCACTTAAAGGCAACCGAAATTGTGCCAGGAGTTTCAGGTGTCTTGACAGACATCATTTGATTTAGTCTCACTGGCCATGGGAGGAAGGCATGACTCCCATTTTACAGACAGGGAAACTGACTCTCAGAGGAAGCTGCAGCCATTTGCCCAAGATTCTGCCGGCAGAGGGCCGAGGCCAGGGAGATCCTGGAGGTGGGGGAGACAGGGAGTGTGGGCTTAGGGAGGTAGAGATCTCCAGCTGTCCTTTCTCCACCTCAGGTTCTCATTCATAAAATGGGTTTCTAGAAGCTACCTGTGGCTTCCAAGGTGTCTGCTGGGAGAGTTCGAGTGTAAGAACCAAATGATGCCATCCCCTTGTAATTTTTGTCTTCACAGTGATGCAGTGGGAACCCAGGATCCCCTGAGCTGGTTTGGTTTAAGCTCGGGGGGGCCAGCAGAGGCTGGGCTCCAGGAGCATTCCAGAGAAAGGCCTGAAGCTTGCAGGGAGGGGGGCTGCCCCACGGAAACTAAAGGGCAACAAACAAAAAATCAACCTAACAAAGCCCAAACCAGCAACCGCCCCTCCAGTCAACCCCTCTGTCAGGATCTCGATCCCGTCTGGGAAAGCTGGGTTGACAGCCACCTGGCTATCCTTGAAGTTCCCTTGAAGTTAAGCTGCCCTCCACCTTCGCAGTGGGTATATATTGGGATAGGACTGAAGGGGGCGCAGTGAACTTTCACTGAGCTCAGCTTGCAAACAGCTATCTCAGCTAATCTTCACAGCAGCCCCTTTGGGGTTAGGAGGAAGACACGTTGTTCCCATTTTACAGATGAAGATACTGACAATTGGGGCCAAGGCAGGGGTGGGCTTCAGCCTCCAGCCCACCAGATCCCAAGTGCCTGAGGCTTCTAGGGCTTCGTCCCACCCCTCCCTTCTCTGCACCCCACCCTACGAGGTGCTAGGCACACACTGGCTTTGATGGAGTGCTCCACCCTACCAGAGGCCACCCCCTTCCACAAGTTGTGATGAATCCTGAGAGTGGAGGATCAGG